AAGCGGGGTCATACCTGCATAATCAGGAACAAACTGACGGTTAAAGTCAGTGATGTCCAAAGAACACAGCATGTCTTTTACCTTGACAGGCAGGGGATGGTGTAAAATGGAGGAACGGTGGGAGGGAGACATTTCATGACCGGTCCGAGACACGAGGTGTCCCAAAAATGACACCACAGACCTACAACATGAGTTTGTTTTTGGAAACTTTGAACTCAGCTGAAGCGATCATGGACAGAATGGAGTGAATGTCTGACAAGAGGGTGTGGAGGCTATTGAAATAGCATCAACATACTGAATCATGACTGACTGTAGAAAGTGTGATGTCAGAGAGCATGTGGAGGAGCGAGACGTGAGCGTTACCTCATTTGGCTCGCGGTTTGGGCGGCCAAGGTTTCAAGTTCCCTTTTTGTTTGGATCAGTTTAAGTCAACTAGAACTTTTTCCTGCACGTGTGGGCGAAACAACCTCTTGATCCTTAATTAGGCCTCCAGTTACCTTAAAGACAGGAGCTTGGAGTCCATACTAACACACAGCAGAGCTGTCATACCTGTAAGGAGGTGGCAGGGAATACATTGGAGCAGAAGGAATTGAGGGGCCCCCTGTGTGTGTGTCTAGCGGCTTCACAGGAACTTCTGCTTAGCTCTCAGCTTTGTGTGTAACGTCAACAGAAGCTGACTGCTGTTGTTTTTCCACCACTAACACCATCAGAGACAAGTTTTGTGACTGTTGTGATTAAGTGGGTTCGTGATCTTTCATCATCTAACTCCTGAGGCCTTTTCTTACCCTTTCTTCTTGCCACAAAACTCAGCTTGTCCCCTGCATCCACTCCAACCTGGTTGTGTCTGTCCCTCAGAGCCATTTCAACCTCAACCATAACCCGGCATATCCAGCAGCCAGCTGGATATGAAATATGTTTCAGTACAACCTTCCTTCCAAAATGACTGAACATTACATTCATTGGGGATTTTCTCACTGTAAAATTTTCACTATATTAAAGTCCCATTATTTGTCACACACACAGGTGTGTGTGCGAAATTTATTCTCCGCATTTGACCCATCCCCTGGGGGAGCGGTGAGCTGCACACAGCCGCGCTCGGGAACTATTTGGTGGTTTAACCCCCCAATCCAACCCCTTAATGCTGAGTGTCAAGCAGGGAGGCATTGGGTCCCATTTTTTCAAAGTCTTTGGTATGACCCGACCAGGAATGGAACCCCTGATTTCCCAGTCTCAGGGCGGACACTCTACCACTAGGCCACTGAGAAAGGTGTATATTCTTACATATTGTACCTTTAAACATATATTGTTCGGCTTCACTGACCATCCATCTGAGGAAAAACAGCATTTTTGTGTATTTAATCTGTTATTTTACATAACAATTGGCATATTCATTGTAGTGTTGTGGTTTATGCTCTTTTATGAAAAAGGAACCATTCTACGTGATAATTTGTGATATTAATTTTATTAAATTAATAACCAAATTGTATAGTTTTAAGAAGACTCAAAGGTTGTTTTCATCGATAAACTGTCGATAATATCCGTGGGTCTGTGTTTCAGTTCAATGAAGAAACAAGTTTGACAATTAAAAGTTTTAATTCTTCAAATTAAACTAATGATTTTGAAATTGACAAACAGGAAATAACAATCAACATTGGCAACTTTGTGGGACAATCTTTAACAGTTGATATGCTGTTCTTGATCAAATAGACCTTCTGTTGGAGGTGCTGAAGGTTGAGAGTGATAGGAGGTGGTTATGGATGCGTGTGTGCAAAGTGTTGTGAGAATTGAACATGAGGTGAGATGAATGTGTGTGTGCATCTGATTTTGCTTCAGGAAGAAACAGGTGTATGAGTGAAAAGTGATGGTTTGAATAAACTTAGGTTTAGTTGGAAAAGATGCATCAAAACTCTATCTGTCGTGTTCTGCCTCACCGAAAATCGGACTCCCTGTTGGACCCAGGACGTCACCTTAGGATGATGTTTCATCCAGGGCACCTTGGCTGGCAAAGAAGACAAAGATGCGCCACAAACCGGTCCAGAGTTGCCCTCGGTACACGTGATGAAAGCGTTTTGCTGATGCACTTTCTTAAGTTTAATTCACTCAGAAAATCAAAAGACCCGGTATGAGTCTGCGTTAGAAGTTGCGATTCAGCTATTCTGTCTGGCTGACAGGAACAGCGTGGGGGGGGGGGGGGGGGGGGGGGGGGGGGGGAGAAATGAGCCAATCGGCTCTGTCCCCCCTTTGGTTTCTCAGGTCCTCTCTCTTTCGTTGTCAAGCACCAACTGAACTATAAGACTGAAACTTACCAAAAGCCTTTCTCTTCTCAAAGCAAACGTGTGCGTCAGCAAATGTGTTTTGTAGTTTACTGTGAGAATCTGTGTGTGGGTGTGTGCTTGAGTGTGTGTGAAGGTCGCTAACAAACATCCTCAAACATTATTTAAGTATGGATTCATTAATCCATTATAATTACCCAAAGCATAAGAATCATTCATTTGATTAAAACACATTTATATTGAGCAAAATGATAATGATTATTCTTTAACATTAAAATCAAGAAAAGAAAGTTTTAAGACTTGTTATGACTACATTTATGGGAACAACATCTTCTGTGGGAACAACATCTTCTGGCACGAAGCTGCAGGTGGCAGATGTTATGGTTTCCTCCCGGACTCGCTGGCGTTCAGGTCTTAATCTGTGGGTGAAAGTTCTCAGCGACCCAGCTTTGACCCAGCTGAGTCCAACACCACCTTTGTGACAGAAAACCCATATTTCCTCACGTTACATCTCCCCCCTTTCACGACGACATGGTGGTTAAGCAAAAACCACCTGACGTCGTGACCTCATTAACGTGATGAACTCATGAAGGTAGACATGCATGTTCCAGATGAAGGCAGGAGCGATGAAGCGTCTCCACAGGTCTCGTGTAGAAAGGAGTATATCCTGATCAGATGATTAAGGCCAAAACTGTTGCAAATCATTGTAAAGTAATCCACTTAGGAAATCTTGAAAGCAGAGCTATTTCAATAGCAGTTAATTTTCATCAACAATAATGCAAAGGTATATTCAAAGGATAAGGTAGCCCGTGTGTCCACACGGAGCTGGGCAGGTGATGTAACCCTCGGGCGTAGTCCAGGCGAAGTCCAGTGACGACCTCGACTCCTCTCGAACCACGACCGAAGCCCCATGCGACAGGAACCCAGGTGGAGTAAGGTGAAGACGACACTCTGATGGCGGAGACCCCCATGGAATGGAAGCAGACATCGAAGGCCGGACGAGCTCGGAGAAGGAGACACAGTGAGACAGCCCGTACGATAGATCGCGCTTGATGCAAATCAAAGAAATGATCAAAAACCTATCTATGGGTACCTCTGGGAAAATGTGAAGGCATTTTGTGAATTATCTAAAGAAGAAATGTCCTGCACCCTGTTCTACATGTCATGTGAAAACATGATGCAGAGAAAACACAAATAAAAGAAATGAAATCCTAACTGATATGTGAAAAGCAGCAGGCTGCACTTATTAAAGGCTTATATTAAAAAAAAAATGAAAATGAAGGGCATATTGGCTTGTAGCCCTTTAAGGAAATTTTTAACAAGTTAAAATTTTGTAATCAAAAATAATCACATTACACAGAGCACTAATAAAAGATAGAGGTGTAAATCAGTTCTAAAAATGTAAATCAGTAGGTTAGCAATCCCTAAAAATATCAGTTAGTAACAGGACCCCGGCTGGAGGCAGGTAACCTGAAAAAAAACTCAAAGGATATCACATTTGTTAAAAATTCATCCAACAAAGATTGAATTTGTAACGTTCCACCGGTTAGTGGAAAAGAATTCGGTTAGAATAGATGTACAGTAAGCGGTTTGAGTCTGGTGCTGCGAACCCACAGAGAAACGAGTTTGAATTTACCTGTAGGACCCGTTTGGAACTGGAGCGAAGCTGATGGTTTAGCTGTTAGATCAGAACCTGATTTTACCTGTTCAAAGTTGTTTATCAGCTTAACGGAGGCGACTTTGTTGTGATCAGAAATAGTAGTGAACTGGAGATGCGAAAATGATGCTCGCAAAGCAGGAGGCTCCCCACCCCCCTTTTGTTTCTCAAACTTATTCTGTGTCTGTGAGACAGGAGAAGCATAACAAACCACAGTTCTTAAGCTCTTAAAAGCCCTATTACCAAGAAGATGCACATTGCCACCAGGATCGTGCTGAAAGAGCAGGTGTGCAGATGTCCACAGACCCGGAGGTGTTGGACTAGGAGGTTCTGAAAAGGAATGATCCAAGGATGGTTGTGTCACGGGTGTCAAAGCAAACTTAACCATGTGTAGAATCAGATACAGACATGTCGCTAGCTTTAGGAACATGTTGTGTTCTGAAAACTGAAGCCAAGAATACTTTATTCCCAAGAATGATGGAGGTTTCCACACAGGAACAGAAAAAGCCGGTTTAACCAGAGTAGGTACAGACTGACTAAAGTTCCGCCCCGTAGAAGGTGCCACATCTATCTCCGGGTCGGAGGTCAAAGTTGTCAGCTGAAGTGGTGGAAGGTCAGTGTCGATTTCTGCAATGACCCGCCCGCTCGGAGGAGGGGTTCCCCCGAACAGCCTGAAGTCCGCAACGGAAAACTCAGTGCCACTCAGCACCCCCCCTTTCAAAATACTAATAAAAAACCATTTTTCTCTTTATTTGAAAATGAGATCAAACTATATATGATCACTCCACTAATGTTAACGCTGTTGTTTACACACAATTCTTTTTACGCCTGGCACAGTGACTACCAACATGTAGCTGATGTGCCAACTCCCCTAAACAGTTCTCCTGAACTACCAGCACAATCTCTGCTTCACACTTAAGATTACAGTTTAAAAACACACGTTTATAGAGGAAATCATGAAGGAAATCTCTTTTCACAACAAACACTGTCATTAAAAACTGTAAAGTCAGCTGCCCTACTTTTCATACCAACTTGTTGAATTGGAAAACACTTTTCACACATAATTACAATTACAGGTCTTCACAGTTGTTTATTCACGTTTTTTTTAAAGCATGCAACATATTTTTAGAACTCTACACGCGAATCCAAAAACACACGCATTCTTCTCAAAATGGTCTTTGAATCCAAATGACACGCAAACCATCACATGAGTAAACATTTATAAGAACCAGATTAACTCTGATGTGTAAAACATTATGACCACTTCTCCAGTCATCATAACGACTTATTGTGTTCAGTGTTACACTTACTGTACTACGACAGTGCATTAAATATTTCAGAATGTTTGTGTACAAAACTCACAAACACGTTACAAAATATACTTTAGTGTGTTTTAACACAAAACAGAGTTCATCCAAACCAACACAGAGTTGCCTATGCAGTGGTCTACATATACAAACAGAAGACTATAATTAATAGTTAAGCTAAAACGAATAAAGGAAAAAATGAATTAATAAACGACTGTGCTGCAACCGCTCGTTTTTATCTGGCCACAGCGCCTCATCCACATCACAAGCAATGTGCTCCCTGACCAAGCAGAGTAGAATTGAAAACTTGGGAGGTTGTCAGGCCAGGTCCAGACCGCCTTTTGAGGGACACTGGTATAAAGCAAGAACATTTTTAAGGCAGATGTGATCACAAGTTAAAGATCTGGGTAAAATAATGGCATGGGTTAGGAGTTTTCTCTCTCCAGATGTCTTTCCAGCCCTCTTCCCAAGTAGGTCCATCTGGAACTGAGCAGGGCCGACACGCCCACTGCTGACTGATTGGCTAACTCAAAAGCATGCCTACCATTACCAACTCCGATTGGCGGCGGGAATCAGCCTGCTGGAGGCTTTCCGCATGCGTGATTCATTATCGTTGATGCTGTGGAGTTAAGAAGCCTCTCACAAAAGCTGTTTTTTTTTCTGTCCCTCACTGCTGTGAGGCGCGCGCACGCACACACACACACGCACGCACACACACACACACTTCTGCCAGACCCAGCAAAGCAGGATGCAATATGAAAGTCAGAAAGTGTCCAAAAGCAAGACAACTTAGGCTGCTTTTGTTTAATAATGGACACTGCGGACTTCTCTGCGCTTTTGACCCGCCCACATGTGCTTGTGACATCACAGACCACCCGTGTCTTAAATCACGTGCGCATGTGCTCAATCACATCTACACTCCTAAGGCAAGCTACAAAATGTGATGTTGTCAGCTAATTACTTTTCAGAAGCGTTTTTCTAACAGGAAGTGTGGATGAAATAAGTCTCCACCCATGCCTTGAGCACTTGAAGGCATCTATGATATGTTGCCAAACATATTTTTATGAATACAATCTCAAGTGTGAATTTTCAAATCAGAAGGTAAAGAAAATGAATCTCATAGAAGATGAAATCAATTCTCACCTGTGTGAGTTCTTATGTGTTTAGTCAAGCTACCACTGATAGTAAAACGTTTACCACAAGTTTTACATGAGTATGGCTTCTCACCTGTGTGAGTTCTCATGTGTGCAGTCAAGCTACCATTGTCTCTAAAACATTTACCACAAGTTTTACATGAGTATGGCTTCTCACCTGTGTGAGTTCTCATGTGTGCAGTCAAGCTACTATTGTCTCTAAAACATTTACCACAAGTTTTACATGGATATGGCTTCTCACCTGTGTGAGTTCTCATGTGTGCAGTCAAGTTACCACTGTTAGTAAAACATTTACCACAAGTTTTACATGGATATGGCTTCTCACCTGTGTGAGTTCTCATGTGTATAGTCAAGTTACCACTGTTAGTAAAACATTTACCACAAGTTTTACATGGATATGGCTTCTCACCTGTGTGAGTTCTCATGTGTGCAGTCAAGTGACCACTGATAGTAAAACATTTACCACAAGTTTTACATGGATATGGCTTCTCACCTGTGTGAGTTCTCATGTGTGCAGTCAAGTTACCACTGATAGTAAAACATTTACCACAAGTTTTACATGGATATGGCTTCTCACCTGTGTGAGTTCTCATGTGTATAGTCAAGCTACCCCTATCTGTAAAACATTGACCACAAGTTTTACATGGATATGGCTTCTCACCTGTGTGAGTTCTCATGTGTATAGTCAAGCTACCACTATCTGTAAAACATTGACCACAAGTTTTACATGGATATGGCTTCTCACTTGTGTGAGTTCTCATGTGAATATTTAAATCAAATTTGTGACTGAAAGATTTTCCACAGAGCTTACAACAAAATGGTCTCTCACCTCTGTGAGCCCTCTTGTTTATTTTTAGTATTTCACCACCTACACTTTCTCTGTGTTCTTCGCGTCGCTGACGCCTTTTATTCAGTTTCAGTTCTTCACTACCGTTTGATTCTGAGTTTTCTTTTCTGCATCCACCCCGATCTTGGTTCTCAGGTTCTGTAGAACTCTGACACAATGGCTGGTTCCTGTTTGGTTCTGGTTCATGACAGTCTGTTTCTTCAGACAGAGGAGTATCTGTGAAGGTAAGATTTTCCTGGTTCAGGAGCTGCCCTTCATGTTGGAAAAGTTTTAACTGTTCTGGTTCTTCCTGGTCTGAACAGGAGATCAACTCCTGGTTAAAGAGCTGCTGGACAGTCAAATCCTTCTCCTTTTCACAGACATGATGCTGTGGAAGATCTAGACAGGATAAGAGAAAAAAGAAAATGTTGATTAATTTGACAATTAAAAACACTTTTTTTAATCATCTAATGCAGCAGTTCCCAAACTTATTTAGCCGCGCAACCCCTTCTATGTCCCGACCATTTCGACGCACCCCCTGTAATGATAACAGCAAATCATTATTTGCTTAGTATCATGGCTTATGTAGTTCATACTGCTAGACGGTAGGGGGAGCCAGAGGGACGCGGAGGACCCGCGGTCTGGGACAGTAGAAGGAAGCTTGTTTGTTGCATGCGAGTCTGAGTTCGATAAAGTACCTTCTCTTCAAGTAATGGTGTCGTTATTGAGAACCCACAACAATACAAGAAACAAGACATGGTGTCAGAAGTTGGTCTTGAAGAAAGGTAACGGACAACTATATAGCTGTACCGATGGATCAGCGTGGCAGTGAACGTGGTGTAGCTAACTCGCCGAGGGGGAAGAGAGAGGAAAAAAAAAAAAAAAAAAAAAAAAAAGAGACCTAGCGACGTGAGCATGGAAGGCTTACACCCACCACCAATTCTTCAGTTGACTGGAAATGTGGCTGAAAATTGGAGAAGATTTAAGCAACGTTTCACTTTGAACCTGTCAGCAATTGGACTCGACGAGGCAAGTGATAAAAAGCAAGCGTCAGTGTTTTTGCATGTAGTGGGTGATGAGGCACTGGAAGTCTATAATAACTTCACGTTTCCTGATGGTGACGGAATGAAGCTGGATGAAATAATGGCGAAGTTTGAGGCTTGCTGCATACCTAAGAGAAATGTGACGTTTGAGAGGCACAGATTCTTCACATGTGTACAGAAGACTGGGGAGACAATAGATCAGTATGTCACAGAGCTGTAGAACAGGAGTAAAACATGTGAATTTGGAGGACTGACAGACTCTTTGATAAAAGACAGACGTGTGTGGGATTCCAGACAACGGGTTGAGAGAGAGGCTACTGAGAGAGGAAAATCTTGACCTGGAAAAAGCATTAACACTGTGCAGAGCAGCTGAAACAGTGAGGGCACAAGCTAAAGAACTGCTGAGTGACAGCTGCAGAGTGGATGCTGTAAAAAAGAACACACACAGGGTCAAAAAAGAGAGTGCTGCTGCTGAGATGAAACTGCAATTGAAATCGCCAGCGAACAGGGACAGAAAGGAAAAGACTTGTGGTCGCTGCGGGATGCAACATCCTCCTAACAAATGTCTGGCATATGGGAAAAGATGCAATATTTGTAACAAAAATAATCATTATGCTAGGTGCTGCAAAGTTCAAATCCAGAAAAAAAGTTCAGTTCATACTGTGGATGAAGACGACACAGAGGAGCTCTATGTAGCTGCAGTGACAGACAATAAAACAGGAGGAAAGGACTGGATAATGACTCTGAAAGTAAATGACACACTCATGAAAGTCAAGCTGGATACTGGAGCTCAAGTGAATGGCATATCTGAAGCAGAGTTCGAGAGAATCAGACCTAGACCCAAAATGCATGCTACATCGGTGAAAGTGAGTGGATATTCAGGTTCAGAAATACCTGTAAAAGGAAAATGCATGGTTAAAGTGACACACAAGGACAAGGAGCACACGCTAACGTTCATCGTGGTGCCAAAGAATGTGCAGCCCATACTAGGGTTACATGCCTGTGAGAGTCTGAACCTAGTGAAAAGAGTGCTGGTCGTGGAAACTGATGATGACATGGATTATAATGAGTTGATGAAGGAATATACAGGTGCTGGCCAGTAAATTAGAATATCATCAAAAGGTTGAAAATATTTCAGTAATTCCATTCAAAACGTGAAACTTGTACATTATATTCATGCAATGCACACAGACCAATGTATTTCCGATGTTTATTACGTTTAATTTTGATATTTATAGGTGACAACCAATGAAAACATCAAATCTGGTATCTCAGAAAATTAGAATATTCTAAAGGCCAATGAAAAAATGTTTGTTTCTCTAATGTTGGCCAACTGAAAAGAATGAACATGAAAAGAATGTGCATGTATAGCACTCAATACTTAGTCGGGGCTCCTTTTGCCTCAATAACTGCAGTAATGCGGCGTGGCATGGACTCGATCAGTCTGTGGCACTGCTCAGGTGTTATGAGAGCCCAGGTTGCTCTGATAGTCGTCTTCAGCTCCTCTGCATTGTTGGGTCTAGCGTATTGCATCCTCCGCTTCACAATACCCCATAGATTTTCTATGGGGTTAAGGTCAGGCGAGTTTGCTGGCCAATCAAGGACAGGGATACCATGGTCCTTGAACCAGGTGCTGGTGGTTTTGGCACTGTGTGCAGGTGCCAAGTCCTGTTGAAAGGTGAAGTCTGCATCCCCATAAAGTTGGTCAGCAGCAGGAAGCATGAAGTGCTCTAAAACTTCCTGGTAGACGGCTGCATTGACCCTGGACCTCAGGAAACAGAGTGGGCCAACACCGGCAGATGACATGGCACCCCACACCATCACTGACGGTGGAAACTTTACACTGGACCTCATGCAACGTGGATTCTGTGCTTCTCCGCTCTTCCTCCAGACTCTGGGTCCTTGATTTCCAAAGGAAATGCAGAACTTGCTTTCATCAGAAAACATAACTTTGGACCACTCAGCATCAGTCCAGTCCTTTTTGTCCTTGGCCCAGGCGAGACGCTTCTTGCGCTGTTTCATGTTCAAGAGTGGCTTGACACACGGAATGCGACACCTGAATCCCATGTCTTTCATGAGTCTCCTCGTGGTGGTTCTTGAAGCGCTGACTCCAGCTGCAGTCCACTCTTTGTGGATCTCCCCCACATTTTTGAATGGGTTTGTCGTCACAATTCTCTGCAGGGTGCGGTTATCCCTAGAGCTTGTACACTTTTTTCTACCACATTTTTTCCGTCCCTTCGCCTGTCTGTTAATGTGCTTGGACACAGAGCTCTGCGAACAGCCAGCTTCTTTAGCAATCACCTTTTGTGTCTTGCCCTCCTTGTGCAAGGTGTCAATGATTGTCTTTTGGACAGCTGTTAAGTCAGAAGTCTTCCCCATGATTGTGGTGCCTTCAAAACAAGACTGAGGGACCTTTTAAAGGCCTTTGCAGGTGTTTTGAGTAAATCAGCTGATTAGAGTGGCAGCAGGTGTCTTCTATATTCAGCCTTTTCAGAATATTCTAATTTTTTGAGATACCAAATTTGGAGTTTTCATTAGTTGTCACTTATGAATATCAAATTTAAATGTAATGAACATTGGAAATACATTGGTCTGTGTGCATTGCATGAATATAATGTACAAGTTTCACGTTTTGAATGGAATTACTGAAATATTTTCAACCTTTTGATGATATTCTAATTTACTGGCCAGCACCTGTAGTGACCTGTTTCAGGGACTTGGTTGCCTTGCTGGTGAACACACAATCAGAGTCGATGAAAGGGTTAAACCAGTCATTCATCCGTGCCGCAAAGTACCATTTGCTCTACAAAAGCCACTAAAAGCCGAGTTGGACAGGATGGAAAACCTGGGAGTGATTGAAAAGGTTGATGAACCAACGGAGTGGGTGAGTTCTCTTGTTATTGTGGAGAAAAAGACGGGAAAGCTCAGGGTTTGCATGGATCCTAGAGACCTGAATAGAGCAATAAGGAGAGAACATTTCAAACTGCCTACAAGAGAAGAGATCATGTCACAGTTTGCAAAAGCGAAGTACTTTAGCAAGCTAGATGCTTCATCAGGATTTTGGCAACTGAAGCTGGACGAAGCAAGTTCGAAACTGTGCACATTCAACAGCCCATTTGGCAGGTACAGATTCAGGCGACTGCCGTTTGGCATTGCCTCAGCACCGGAAGTGTATCACAAGACGATACACATGATCTATGAACACCTGGAAGGAGTCGACACGTCAATGGATGACATCATTGTGTGGGGTAGCACAAAAGCTGAACATGACCTGAGACTGAGAAATGTTCTTGAAGCAACCAGAAGAGCCAATCTGAAGCTGAATAAGGAGAAATGTCAGCTGGGCGCGCACAAACTGACATTTGTTGGAGATATTCTGAGCAGTGAAGGCATCAGGCCAGATCCTCAAAAGGTGGCTGCAATTGAAAACATGCCGAGGCCGCAATGCAAGAAAGACGTGCAGAGGTTTAATGGCATGGTGAATTACATGGGGAAATTCATACTCAATCTCTCTGAAAAGATGGCGCCACTGAGACAGCTAACAGAAAAGAGACTCGAATGGGAGTGGAATCATGAACATGAGAAAGCATGGCGTGACTTGAAAGATTTGCTTACGAAGGAACCAGTTCTGAAGTTTTATGATCCAATGAGGCCTATTAAGATCTCATCAGATGTATCACAGAGCGGGCTTGGAGCTGTTCTGTTGCAGAAGTATGGCCTGTTGCCTATGCATCGCGATCGATGACAGATGCAGAGACGAGATATGCACAGATTGAAAAAGAACTGCTAAGCATAACATACGCCTGTGAGAGATTTCACCAGTTTGTGTCCGGGCAGGCTGTCAGTGTTGAAACTGATCACAAGCCGCTGATAGCATTGTTCAAAAAACCACTAAATGACTGTCCTCTGAGAATCCAAAAAATGATGATCCAGCTGCAACGTTACACACTAGATGTGATGTACACGCCTGGCAAGCTGATGTACACAGCTGACACATTATCCAGAGCTGTTGATCCAAATGTGCCAGCAAACACCACGATGGATGATGATGTGAGAGCATATGTGAGCATGGTCACAGGTGCACTTCCCGTTGCAGGAGGGAAGATGGAGCTCATAAAAACAGAGACAAGCAAAGATGGAACATTACAAGCACTGTGCAAGACTATCATACATGGATGGCCCAGCTGTAAGCAAAGCTGCTCACCTGTTCTTCAAGAGTGTGTGACAGTGTTTGTGTATGACTGTTAGAGGAAAAAGAGAGGTCAAGTTGTCTGGTTGCCATGGGTGAGAAGATAGTATGTTTTTTGTTATTTCTGTAAACAGCACTCTAAACGCTTCTTTGTTATCTCAGATAAG